AGGACAAAAACGCCCCGGGAATAATGAAATTAAACTATATATATATATATATAGAGAGAGAGCGCAAATGTCCGCGAAACGGGAAAACTGAGACGTTATAAAATAATATATATAATAATATAATGATATTACGCTACAACAGTATAATGTATACGTATACGCATATAGAAGCGGCCGGGCAATTTACGGAAATTGTTCAATGACTCGCGATCCGGTCGTTTTCCGCCGACCTTCTGCCACCGGTTTTTGTGTTTTATGTCGCGTGTGTATATACGCGCGGCGCTGCTACGTCCACAGCACGTATACAGGGTGTTTGTAGAATTGCGTGTTTATAATGCGCAAACTGCACCCGTTTCATTGTTGTTATTGCAGTCATTATGTACTCGAGCCGCAGTATGTATGTGTATACGTATCTAAATGCAATTCTCACCCCCGTGTGATATTCGGCGATCACTCCGTGTTCGGTCTGCTGCAGTAGTGTCCCCGCACAATAATAGCAATAGCAATAACAATAATTGCGCGTCAACAACAACAAAAACAACAATGGTACCAAATCGTGGACACGAATGTATAGGGAGTCCTGAAAAAAAAAAAAAAATCAGCCGTTTTACTCTCTCTCCAAGACCTTGTATAGTCGTAATTTTTTATACACTTTAATAAATGGGATATGCGTATTTTCTACATTTACCACGCGAAGAAAATTGCGCGTTTCAAATATATTATATTTATCTACGAGTATTAACCATTTTAATAATTTTGTTTTTATTGTTTTTCTTAACCAATAGTTAATTGTTGCGTATACAGATACATATATGTATATTAAATTACTCAATATATCCTCTCTTTCAAATTCCCTTCTGAAACATTGGCATAACCATCAGCAGTATCAACAGTGGCGGATCGTGCCACCAGAAGGACGGAAAGTTTTTCGGTGAGGCGGAGCCCGGTCATGACTTCATGGTCCTATCATCATAAAACTAATTTTATACTTAAAATTGTTCTTTTTGTATTTTTCGATACAAATATTATTTATTACTTATGAACTTAGGTAATACACATTGGATAGGGCTACAACGTATACACGCGTAGTCTGTGCTTGAAGCAGACCTGTTCGGCCCCGATGAGAAACGAAATAGGAGTCACAATCACTTTTTGTGCATGTGTAGTGGTTAATTTAGGTTATATACCTCTTACTATAAATACATTATGTTTTGCGTATGCGTAGCGATGACGTCGGGACCCAGTTGTTATACTTCAAGATTTTAAACCATAGCTCTATTCAATGTGTATTATCTAAGCTTATAACGTATACTTGTGCATATGCGTCGTTGATAATGATAAATAGAAAATGATAATAGTCGTGTCGTGAAACAAGTGTAGTAAGGGTGGCTTACCCTTTAACCCCGAAATGTAGTAGACACATAGAGCAAGTCGACTAAAGACATGGATAGTAAAGAAATTATTTAATTTCATTTATTTACTGTCTTTGTGTAAAGACAACTTTATTTGTAATTAAATGATACCAAAATATTAATGGCCAACCGAAATTCCAATATCGAGCATACGACCGCGGTTGTATATTCAACCGTACAGCGTGCACACAATGAAGCATGACAGCGGCCGTTATGATAATATTATTATTATTTTTTTTAATTTGTTTTTTTTCTATAGAAGTAATGTCAGAGAATAAACCTAAAGGGTGAACCCAAAAAGTTAGGATATATAAATAAAAACATTTATCATCATAAGTAAAGCAGCAATGCAGACCGACCTTGGAACTATTTTCAATCCCACTAATTAAAATATTTCACTACATTTCCACTAAATTGTTTGCATTTATGTTGTTTTGGAATGATGAAACGAAATTCTCCCGGGCCGGTTAAAATCCAGAATCCACCTCTGAGTATCAGACTTTTTTGTTTTAATTTATCGAAAAACTCTAAGGAATCCAGAAATATTGTTAGCAGTGGTTGTGGTTTTGGATAATATTTAATATATAGCTAACAAGCATGAAATTAATAATATTTAGGTAATAATGAATAAATTTACGAATGTATAATTTATGGAACATGAATATACATTCATAATAACCAACATTTTACATCCCAATGATAATTTATTCATTTTTTTTTTTTTTCAGCACCAAACTCCGTGTTAATTAACACAGTAATAATCTATCTACATATTTATTTTTTATAACGTCATTAACAACAATAATAATATATTATACAAAAGATATCAATAATCTGATACATTTATATCATTATGATATTATTTGTTACCTAGTTTAACAACTTTAATCTACGTTTTAGTTTAAAAACTGTTCGTTATATGATTAGCTCATCGCGTATTCAATTTCCACGAAAAATATACAATATTTAATGTGTTTCTGAGATCTATTATACGAAAAAATATACATATAAGTTAGAGGCGAACAATAAAGTATTATGATATGATATAATATTAATGTGTTAATATTATATACACACAGATAATCTTGATAAAAAAGAAATAATGATTGCCCATCTATACGTGATAAGGCGATGACCACCAAACTGAAACACTATATTATTAGACTTATCAACAAGACAATCATCAATTTGTAATTATAAAAACGCCATCCGCCACCAAAATGAATTTCAAAAATTACGGTCATTTACCGTAATAAATAGTTAACATATCGCCAATTATCATTATTATAGTTGATAGGTGGGAAGTTCGGAAGGTAGGATACATAAAACTACTTAATTTATATCTATAAGCAATGATAAACTTTTCCTAATTTAAAACGATTTTGAACGGAGTTTCTTTACACATGATTTGAAAGGCCTTAAAAATTACGATTTTTGTTAAAATTTCATATGAAAATTCTTATAAAAAACCTACATTACACTTAATTTTTTTCATTTTGACCACTGAGTATGACTTATTATGAATCTGATATTAAATTATCAATAATTTCTGTTTAGTTTAACAATTGTATCCAAAGAATACCTACCAAACAAAAATTACGTAAAAACCTCTCAAATAAATAAATAAATAAATAAAATATCTATAAATAACTCAAAAATTGTCCAACATTTTTTGATATTACCATGTTTAAAAGCATCGTTTCCGTAAATTTTCCCGTTTCTACTTAATTTTTCGGTTTTGCTCAAAAATCAAAAACATTTTCTTATCAATAAGATTTAAAATTTAACAAAAAAAATCTCTTTTCGTTGTTTAATTAAAACAACATTTCTGGTAGAAAACAAGAACCGTATACATTTAAAATAATAATATGACGCCGTTGCGTAAATTTATCAGTTTTATTTTTACGTATTTTCCCGGGTTTTCCGGTTATTATGAAAACTGCTTGGAATATTAAAAAAAAAAAAAAAGACTTAATTACTCATCAGATCTGGATCTATAAAAATGGATTCTTATCGGTTTTCGATTAGTGCAATATTTTTGGTAAAAACCATGAACCGTAAACATTATTATAATGAAACATTAACGTATATTAACCATATACATGTCCTTTTTTATTGTATGTCTTTTTTGGTTTTCTTAATTATTGTAGAAAATGCTTGGAAAATTTTAAAAGAACTTTCATAGTCATTACTAGATATACCATGCAAAAGATCTCTTGTTGTATTTTGATTGAAGTTTGATTTCTATACTCCGTCCACCGAAAAATTTATCTCATTCGTGCATTATCTAAATGAATCAACTTCGTCTTGTGGTTAAATTCCCACCCGGTGGCCACGTGGTGGGAATAGGATAACAAATACACGAAAACGGAAGACTTTTGGTCGCTGTCTATATGCGTTCTCTCGGTGGATGAAATATAGCAGAAAAATTGTTCACAGGTACACAAAAAAAAAAAAAAACAGATTATAGTAAAACTACTGGATCCCTCTACGCTTAGAACCACCAAATGTATACCAAATTAATTTTAAAATCACCACCTATCTATAAACTCGTGGAATTGAGCATATTATACCAGTGCTCTGTATGTGACTGTTTAAACGAAATAATAAATAAAATATAAAAAGTTTGAAAGTTGAAAGTTGCTGTACAAATGTACAATTGTATTCCAATTTTGTTCCGATGACTTAGCAGACTTAACATTGAAAACAAAAGGAAGGTCGTTTTTTACATTTCATGTATCAAAATAAAATGACAATATCTCGAGATAATATAGGGACGTGGATATAAGTTTTACAGTAATAATTATTATATATAGGGGCGCTGGTATTTAAGTTCACTATCCACAACTGATTTGTACTATCAGTTTATCAGCGGTATCGCATCATTATACACGGGGTAATAAGAACGATGTGCAACCTGTATAACCTGTATTATCATTAATCGTGATCTATACTATACATTTATATAATTAATATTGTTTTTTTTTTTTCAAATAATCGCGTTGGAGTTTCAGCGACGAATTAGCCAGAGAAATAATCATTTTTCTAAGTGCGCTCAATTGGGTCCTATATAAACTCACTGCAGTTCTCCTAATGGAGCGTAAAGATTTATTTATTTTTAAATACGGCCCATATATACTTTTATCCGAGTTCTGCTGGTAGCCCTGTATAATAATATGATTGATACGTACCTTAAGATTTATTTGATACCATTAAATCGAATTACTTTTTAATAGATACACAGCATCGACAACGTGGGGAGAGAATCCTCGTTCCCTATTTGTGTTATTATACTTACCGAATTGAACGGAACGAAATTAAATTTTATTAGATAAATACATTTAATTTTGGCGAAAATAAAACATTATTATATAATACATACAGTATACAATATACATATATATATATATATATATATATAATAGAATATTACGATATAAACAATTCAAATCAATATTGAATAGATACCATTATATTATTATATAATTACTTAATACATTATGTTTCAATTATTTGGATTTTCATTAATTACTAAAATATATAAAAAATATTACATGTTTATATACATATATTAAGATATGTAAAATAACGTACATAAAATACCTGCTTGTTTCACCATAAATAGGGAAAAAAGCTCACACGCCTATACCTATACTGAATCGTGTGAGCGTTAAAAAATACAATATGTTAGAGCGTGTTGATTTTCTGAACAATTTTTTATATTCGAAAATAATATATTATACACATAATTATATACTGGCTGTCTCGCGTCCGGCATTGCTCGTGCTAATTTCTCATTTTTTTACCTTTATTTCCGTATTACATTGTCCGTATCGGTATATATTGAACTAAGCAAAATAGGTGGTAAATGGATAGGCCGCGGACTAAAAGTGTTCTAGTGTACCATACATTTTTCCATTCGTGTGACCATAGATATCTGCAAAATACAGGGATTAAACTGTATAATATCCACTAATAATAACTCTAAACTTATCAGGACATAATAGTACTGTATAGTGTTGTTACTGTACCAAAAAATACAAAGATACAGAGATGACATTTTACGTATTTTCATTTTTCACTTACTCACCCTGTACAGCGCATACATTTTTTTTATGTTACCAAGGGGTAGCACATTCTAGCCAATAACATACCGGCAGTCAGATAGACTATTTATTTTAATTTGTTTTAGTTGTTATGGCATTTTTATTTCTGTTTATTTTGAATTTGTTTTAATTTCACTCGTATTATTATAATACCTAATCCATAATTCAACAAAAATAATTTAATTTTCGTACCAAAAATACCTAAACATTTTTCATCCCCTATTTCATCTCCTTTAAGTTTTATTTTTGCGACAAAAAAGAGCCAATGTTTTTCCCAAGGTCTCTTTACGAAAATTCATTAAAATTCGTTCAGTAGTTTTTGCGTGAAAGAGTAACAAACATCCATCCATCCATACATTCTTACAAACTTTTTTATTTATAATATTATTAGTAGGATACATAAAAAATGTACCTAATTTTTTTTTATGCATGAGAAATAAATTTATTGTTGCAAATTTAACATCACTTTTAAAATTAACAAAATTAATAATATTATTTCAAACTAATAATTAATTTATAATATGTATGACGTACCTATACGTTTATTACGAAATAAATAAATATAAATATTACTAGAAATAAAACACTTGGAGGGTGGAGGGTTAATGAGTATCGCCATAGGCGTGCGCAGACCATAGTGGCAGAGGGGGGTATAAACATTTTGTTTTGTTAAGATCACTAGTAGTGCTTGCGGAAATATTTTCTAGGAGAAGAGGGGACCAAGTAGGTTTACTTCGTTAATATAACATTTATCAATCAATATCATCCCACATCTGAAATAATTTACCAATATCAATTAGATTAATGTAACATTTTAGTATAACATAACATAATATAACTAATCTAATATTATACATTTACATTATAGTGAAATATTGTGTAAGTACCTAAACAAATAACAAATATCATACCTTGCCTTATACTTATAGTCATACATTATTAATCACAAAATAATACATTGTTATTAATATAAAAAAAATAGTTAATAATAATGAACTGGATCATTTATTCTTATCACAGATTCGTGATAAATTTTTATCGTATTTATATCAGTTAGGCAACTCTCGAACACGATTGACTAAATAATGACTACCTAAATAAATGAAGTAGGTAATATTAGTTTATTTGGAAAAAAATTCAGTCCGCAGAGGAGGAGGTCAGCTTCTCACCCTGCCCCCTACGTGCGCACACTTATATGAGTATCGCCTCTCTGCGATGGCTCCAGAGTAACTCGAACTAAATATTTTAATATATTTTAGGTAGAACAGAATACATTTGGCGGAAACGAAAATCGTACTTTTCTTTTGTAATTTCGGCGGAAACGAATGCCGCCCATAAAACTTGTCGATACAATCAGTTCAGTATTGTGTCTTATTAGGTATTGTAATAAAAAAAAAAAAAAAAGATAATTTTTTACGTAATCGATACTGCTTGTTCTAATTAATTATGCATATCGTGTTTGAAAAAAAAAAAAAAACCAAAAAATAAGTATCTATACCTAACTGTATTATCCTATACCCATAATCATTATATATGTGTCCATTTAGATATATATTATTATTTTTCATTAACTGCATCACATGACCGACGCCGTCGTCGTGCAGCCAACTATATATATATATATATATATATTCTATTATTATTATTATTTTTTTTTATTGATTATTATGTTAAGTATTTTACACGGTGGTGTAATGTTGTTAACGACAGACCTTTATTTTTGGTTTTATCGCGCGTATAACAGAAGGTTAGTGTCTTGCGTGATGAACAAAAAAACAAAAACCAAAAATAGTCACTGAACAGGTTTAGACACTATAACTAGGTATATATATTATATAGGTATCATCTGTGGTATTGATGTCCGCGCATTATTATTATTACATTATATAGATTCGTTTCGGCCGGGAATATAGGTATAGACAATTGGTTTTATGACTTTTTCGTATAATAAACTAATAAAAAAAAAAAAAAAAAAAAAAAAAAATGGGTAATAATTGAAAAACTAATAAAACGGAAATATAATACAAGTATAATCAAATTAAAAAAATTACCATTTTTTTTTTCCTTCGCCGGTTCACTCGAAAACACCTATATCAATATAATACCATTATTTTTATTTTATTTTTCATCAGTTAACAATAATATTACGTTCGGTTTTTTTTATTATTATAGTCCCCATCATGCTCAAGCGCCAAACGAAACATATTAATACATTATTGTCATCATCATCGCTATACAGGTATAACGTTTTTATAATTAATTAAAGTCAAACGATATAATGATAACAAAATGGTTTTCACCGCTTTTTAGTTTTATAAATCGAATTCATATGCTAATGGCATCGTGTCGCGTGTGTATTATAACCATTTTACACTGCTTACCCGGATCAGTGCTCGAATTGGAAAAACAGTCTGGAGGGACTATAGACTTAAAAATAAAGATGTGTGTCCCTTCTAATTATTTAACTCAACCTAACCCGTAGGGAGCTTTTCCCCCACACCTCCCTTGCATCAATTTGTCCGTCTATAAACCATTTTTCTTCAAAGAATATTGTTCCACTCATCAACTTTAAGAGTAAAATAGTTTTAAGAAAATGATAAAGAATAAATTGAACTTCAATATGAATTGTATCATGTTACTGTTGGAGAGGTTTTGTTTTATAGCTATTCATGGTGTTACAGTAATAAGAATGTAATGACATCTTCTTAATCAAAAAATTGTAAATGTGCACACATATTTATAGTTTGCTGTTTATATATTAATTATAACTGTAAATGCACCGATGTCCTATAGTGTACCCAGTTTCCTAAATATTATAAAATACACATTAAGAATGAATTAGTCATTGCAGTCAGTTATGAATTAACTTTCATCAGATAAAGACGATTGACGTAGAAAATATTATTGACAGTTGATCTTTATAATCATTTAAAACCAATATCCGATGATCCGATATTTAAAATAAAACAAATAAAACAATCAATTGATATTGAAATTGACCGATTTATCGGTTGAAAGTCCGATTTTGTTTAAAGCTTTTTTCATATTGCTGAAAATTGTCCATAATATCGATTTCGATAAATATCGAAATCCTCAATACTAGCCGATACTCTACACTAATTTTATTATTATAGTTTTTGGTTATTTATTATTTTAAATTGACAAATTGACAAAAATATACAAAAATTCGATTCTATAGTTACGATTCTCCGCTACTCACGAGTGTTATTTTTTGAATCAACATAATATTTGCATTACGAACCGGGTGCAATATACAAATATTGGCGTTTGAGACGTCAGTGCAGTATAATTTTTTTTTTTAGTTTTTTTTTTTTTTAGATATCCGCTGTGATACCAAAATATAATTATACCGTTTTCAGTTTTAATAACAACAAACGTGTATATTATTACGATTTACAAAAATTTGGTAGTATTATAATATTGTAATACTTACGGCCAAAAACCATTTAAAATAACGACCGTAATAAATTTCGAAAACAAAAAAAAACAATATCATTTACTTTTATTATTATTATTATTCGGCGTGTTGTTTTCGAGAGACGGAAAATTTTTTTTGTCGACACCTTTCCACGCGGTGCGTTCCCGGCGGGCGGTATACGGCGGGAATCGTGTATACCAACGACGAAAAAATCAAAAGACATATTATAATAATATTATTACTTATACTATTTTTTTTCGTGTACCTACACGTAATCACGTATCTCCTTGATTCGTTTTTTATACATTTTATCCCCTCCCTTCCCCTCATGAAACTGGGATCAGGTCGTAATAATATCGGAAACCCCACTAGCGCACCGTCGTCGTCGCGTTGTTTATTAACAAGACAAATCGACTGCAAGAGACTGCGATGCACGTTTTATCATTATTATTACACCTACTAAAAAAAAAAAAAACCTTAGATAGGTAACCGTATATTGTCTTTTTAAATATTTACGACGTTTACATACTGCTGAGAGAAACGCACACGGTTATTTATATTATTTATAATTTTTGTCCCTTCCGCGCCTCGGTTGCCGATAAATTACACACGCGCGAAAACTTATTGCGTAAAATATTTTGCGACACGACTGCCCGCTGTTGTCGGTCACCGGCAGTCGGCTTATACTTATTTATTTATATGCCCCGAAAAAAATTTAAATATGTATGCAGATATGCACTTAAAGTACTTAATTTATTTTAAGGGCAAATATGCCCTTAAATTATGCTTTAAAAATAAAAAATGATGTTAAAAAATATATCTTTCTCATCTGCCCTACTTATACTCCGTAAACAATTATTTTTGATTCTTAATTCATCGAGTGGAACATATATTGAATATTTACGAAATCCAATATGCGGTCTAAAATTATACACACACCTTATAATATGCCCTATAATCCCAAAGTACCAAACTATTCAACATTTTGTGTAAAGCATCGCTGAGTAAACTCATATAAGCATTGATATAAACTATAGTTATTTTTTTGGCCAACAAAAAAAAAATATGCAAAAGCATATAAATATTTTCAATTATTATTATTATTACTACATAGGAATATATTGCGAATCGAACAACAAATAGCATAATAAGCGAAATTTCTGGGATTTAATTAACGAGTTTATAAAAATGTTTGATATTTAAACGCGTACGTATAAAAAATGTTGACGTTAACATAGAATTTTTGTAGATCTTGAGTGTAGCGAAGAAGCTACCAATTAGTTTTTAGTTAGTAAAAATAAAAATGCCTTAGGTATTATAAATGTGTATTTATCACCCAGTGATAATTTATTCGAAAAAATTCTCTATAGATTACATACGGCATTTTGTTT